ATCAGATAGTGAAGGCAATAAACAGTTTCCCACAGATGGGAAATGTCGGTTCTCAAGCAATGGTTGGAGAAGAGAGGCAGGGAACTTTCTGAATGACAAACAGTTTATAAAAATAATGTATCTGTACAATTCTCCTTTGTAATAATTTAGCCCTTGTATTATTCAGTCAATCAAATCAGCATTTTCCCCTTGAGAGGTCAGGCAGTAGAGTTAATAAATTAAATAATAATAAATTAATAGGATGTTTTCAACTTAATAAATAAACCACAAGTAATTAAATTACCCAGACTGGATGAAATGTACCTAAGGGTGTGTGTGTGTGTGTGTGTGTGTGTGTGTGTGTGTGTGTGTACTCTGGGTAAACTTTTTAAAATTAAATTCATTGGGTGACATCGGTTACTATCATTACATAAGCCTCAAATATACTATTCCAGAACACATCGTCTGTGCATTGCATTGTGTGCTCACCATTTGGGTGAACTTTTTAAAGCATTATCCCCAAATTGTAATTGCCCTGGTTAAGAAGTGATGTTATTAGACCCATTTACAGAGAAGGTCACAGAGGTTACTGTCCTGGCTGATTAGTAAAAGGGGTGGTGTTAGTATGTATTGATTTTTTTTGTCCATAATTCCACCATCTACAATAAACCACTGTCAGCATGTGGACATACTCACTTTCATTTTTTCTCATGTATGATTATGGTTTCCAAAATTACAAATTGACATACTGTTCTTTAAAAATAAAGAACATTCAAGATATAGCTATAGTTCTTTCTATAGTCCCTCAATCGTGCCATCCTGCAAATGTCCAGGCCACAGCATTATTATTATAATTTTTAAATATGTTTTTATTGATTTTTAGGAGAGGAAGACAGAAACATTGATGAGAGAGGAACATCATCAATTGGCTGCCTCCTGCACTCCCCGCACTGGGGATTGAGCCTGCAACACGGGCATGTGCCCTGACCAGGAATCAAATTGGTGACTTCTTGGTTCCTGGGTTGACACAACCACTGAGCCACAACGGCTGGTAATATTCTTATCAGTTTAGCATATTTCCTTCCATTCCTTTAAAAAGCTTTGTTGATATTGACAGGCACCATGCTTTGCACATTGCTCTGCAACCTCTTTGTGTCAGTTCAGACTAGCGATCAAGAGTGTGGACTCTGGGAGACGGTGCTGTGGCTTTGGGAGAGCTGTTTGATTTTCCTGTGCTTCAGTTCCTTATCTGTAAAATGGGAATAGGATAGTGTCTGCTTTAAAGGGTAGTTGTGAGGATTAAATATTAATGCCTGTAAAACCCTCAGAGCAGTGACATATTAAGTGTTCAGTAAGAATTGCTATATAGTTTTTTTCTGAATGCAATGTTTTTGAAATATAACCTTTAAGCTCTTAATATGTACTCCATGCGGTGGAAGCTTTCTTAGTCCCTATTCACCAGGAGCACATACGAGGCATCCTAGCTCCTCAAACAAAAATCGAGGTCTGCAGGGGAGGGCAGACATCTCCCAGCATGGCGAGGTTTCATTCCCTTCCTGAGAGCCCATCTTTTCCTTAGATGATGAGCACCAAAGCCACCATCCCATGAAGAGATGATGTTGCCGGCCAATGGGCCCGTGGCTTTGTAGACCTCAGCTAGTAACATCAGAATGCAACACAACACATTTGATGTTTATAGCAGAGACACATAGATGCTGTGTTTGCATGTGCTGGGCGGGTGGTAGGAGCAAAGAAGCAAATGTTTTAGTGAATTGGGGACACAAGACTAGGAATATATCAAAAACTGTACCTGCTAACCTACCAATGCCCCATTGTCCTCAGGGACTTGTTCTGCCAATTCTTTATGCATTTATTTTAAACATTTTCCCTAGCTCTCTATTTTTTTAGCCTCTACTACTTCATGTCCCATAACTTCTTAACAAAACAAAAGTCTCCTGCGAGACTTTACTGCAAGTGGTTAATGGGCTATAAAATTAGAAGCAGGCTCCTTGGGGAAGCTGCACAGAAGCAGCCTCTCCCCTCATTCCCCCCAACTAGCCCTCTGCTAATCACCGCACTGTGTATTCCCTAGGGAAGGGAACAAGCAAATCAGCAGATATGCAGAGCTCTTAAGTGACGGGTATGCCCCATTAGCATCATGTAATTGATGGAGACACAGAGGCTCAGGCGAAGCAAGCTGCCCAGTGCTAGACTCTGGGAGCTAAACATTGCTTCAGTCTTCCCCCTCCTTTTTCACAGTAGACTGGTCTTTTGGAAACAAATGGGAAAGGCACAATCTATGTTTGTCATTCACTTCCTACACTCTATCTACCCCTGCCCAGACAACCCACAATTTCTCCTCATCAGATATTCAGTGGGCTCATACTCTCTCCTGTATGCATTCAGCTTATATATATATATATGCATCTCCTGTTTCCAGACCCTATATAGGTGCTGTAGAGACTGGGATGAGCCAGACAGACATTCTTTATCGCTATAGACCTTGGAAGAGGTTGGGGTTCCACAAGCTTCCTTAACCCAGACTTGAGATAGAGTTGGTCAGGGGTGGCTTCTTGCAGGCATAATGTTTAAGCTGAAACATGAAGCGGGGGATGGGCCAGGAGAGAGGCAGAGGGAAGTAAATTCCAAAACAAAGAAACAAATGACTTGAAGTAAGAGAATAAACAGGGGATCTGGTCATGAAATCCTTAAATCCTTGGCCCTTTGCCCACCTCATATTCCTGGGGACAAAGGCTGGGTGGCAGGGGGGCATCCAGACAGGCAATGTTTACTACTCTACAGTTTGGACTTTGAGGCCTGCCTGTGACCCCTGGGCCTGGTGAGCTGGACAGGATCGAGAGTAAATCACGAGGGTTGCTTTTACCCCACCTTGACCTTAGATCCAGGGCAGTTGTGAGCAGGAAAATGCTTATGGGAAACATTTCTTCTTAATAAAAATAAGAACTTTGAGCCCCACTGGAGGAGAAAAGCTTTTAGAATCCAGATGACATTTTCATTTTATTTAAATCCCCAAATATAGGCAATGATATAAAGAACACCCATGTAACTCACTTCCTGCCTAAGAAATAAAACATTGTATGAATGACTAATGTCCTGGGGTACCCCTTCCTCCTGCACTGCCTCCTGAGAGGTAGCTGTGAATCGGAATTTTATGCATATGATTCCCATGCATGTTTTATACTTTGTTCTATATAGATAAGCATTAGTGATGCCTGGCATTATTTTTGCAAGCTTTAATCTTCATAACATTGTAACTCTCCTGCAGCTCTCTCTGAGGAGAGGGTGGTGAGCATTGTTTTGGAGATTTGCTCACACAGTTCTTGCTCATTCCTTTCCCCTCTATCTATTCTTTTGTGTGGCTATATTTATCCACTTCCTGTTGATGGATACCTAGGTGGCTTCCATAGTTTGTCCACACAAATGGTGCTGCACTAGACATTTTGTGCAGGTCTGATGTCCTGTTTATTGAAGGGAAGAGCCTCAAATGGAAAACTGGCACTGCTTCTAGCTGCTGAACAGTTCAGAACCGGACACACTTGAGAAATAGCAACAGCGAGCTTACTTTTCCCACTTTTGTTATGAAGTTAGTTTAGACAGCGTTGTGGCCCATTGGCAGCACACACATGATTGCTTTTCGGTGGCCTGGACTGGAACAGACCATGGTGCCTTTTTGATCAGATCACTCTGGTGGCAAGAAAAGGTGTAGAAAGAGGAATGTAAGAAAAAGAAAGGCCTTTTTTCTCTAAAGTCTTGAGAAGATCCTGGATGAAGCTGCTACCCCAGCTCTCCCCAGGAAGGGGTCTCCTCCAAGTTGGACACAACCCCAATTACATGGAGGGGAGGGTGGGGAAGAAACAATCTAACAAAAAGGGTGAAGACTCAGGGAAGAAAAGGCCAAAAGATTTCAAGGGACACTTCCAAAGGAAGCAAGAGTAGAATCCCAAAAGATAGTCTCTGGGGTGTGAATCCTACTGAAAGTCCAGCATGAATCTGCTCAAGAGCTCTCCTCCAAGGCAGAGTGTGTGTGGGGTGGGGAGTGGGAGGAGTAATCTTGAACTCCCTCTAGAAATGAATTGTGTTTATATTTTTCTGAATGTTTTTGGTTTCCTGTTAATCCCAGTGGGTTGAATTTCTAGACTCTTGATCAATTGGGGCTGTTGTGGGCCTTCTCACAAGAGACCAGTGAAATTCATAAGAAGCCCTGCCTGCACCTCCATGCAATTTCTTCTCAATCTTTATAACGATCATTTCTCACCCCAAATATTGTCAGAGCCTCTGGATTGTTCCTGCCCTTGCCCCATTACAGTCTATTCATAAAACAGTTGCCAGAATGTTCCTTTTAAAACATGAGTCAAAGGATGTCTCCTCTTCCAGATTACCTCCCTTAGCTTCTTCCATCACTTGGCATGAAAACCAAACCTCAGGTAATGGCCAAAAATGCCATACGTGGTCTATTCCCTGTTACTTCTCTTCCTCATTTCCTAGCGCCCTCCCTCTTGCTCACTCTACCCTAGTCAGCACTGGCCTCCTTGGTGGCTCTCAGTCATATTGGACATTATCTTACCCCAGGGCCTTTGCAGTTACTGTTCCCGCATGCTTTGCTCCCTCACTGACTTCAGGTCGATGCTACATCTCACCTGTTTATTTTTTGAGGACTTCCTGACCACACTGTTTAAAATGGCATCTCCATTGCACCCCTGGGATAACTTATCTCTCTTCTCTGCTTTATTTTCCCCTATCACATCTGAAGATGATTTTTAGTTATTTATGACAGTTATTATTTGTCTCTTCCTTCAAGAATGTCAGCTTCAGGAGGGCAGGGATTCTTCCTGCTCTGTTCCCTGTTGTACCCCAATGTTTGGCCCATGGAGAGTATTTGACTGGATGAGCTATTGGAAGTTTCCATTTGTTTGCTTGAGACCAATGACTTGGGACATTCTTTGTGAATGTCTTTGATGTGACCTCTGAGATAGGCAGGGCTTAACTTCACTTACGTGTACTCTAAGGCAGCAGCAGGTAGTGTGGTCCAAGAAGTTCTTGCTTGCAGTCTGGTCTCATCTGAAAACATGCTCAACTCTTCCTTCCCTTTTTTGAAACATGTTCCAGGGAAAGGAGCTGAGGTAGGAGCTGAAACAGAATGTGTTTTGATGTCCAGGGAAATGTGTATCCTACCACGATGAGACAGGCAGAATACAATGAGTTCTTACTGAATACCTATGAAGGCAGCCAACATAATACTTTCTCTCTTTTTAATTCTTACTAAGCTGTCAGGTAACATTATTATCTTTATTTCAAATATGATCAAACAAAAGCTTGATGCATTTCATTCTAGTCTTCTGTTGGCCTGGGCATCATTTTTTAAAAAAATTATTAATTATCACATACCTATATCCATCATAAGTATTTTCCCAAGGGGTTGTCATTAGAACCCTGTAAGAAATAAAGTGAATTTTTGATTATAAAAGTCAGAAACATTGTTTTAGAAAAGTTGAACTATGATAAAAATGAAAATAGAAAGAAGGAAACAAAATCACCTATAGGCCCATGATCTGGAGACCACCAGTATTCCCATGTCATGCAATGGCCATGACGCTTTATTTTATATAAGATGTTGTTGTGACTTGCTTTTTTAATAGTTGTGTCATCTCTACTGAGTGATTACATTATAGTCTGCCTACCTATTCCCCTATTGTGGGAATTTAGTTAGTTTACACACTTAGGTAAAGTATGTCCCCATAAGTGAAGTCTCTAGAATAGCACAAACTGAATTTGGGGTACAAATTGTTTTATGGCTCTTCCCAGAGGCAGTGCTGTTGCGAGGGGTGTGGTGTGGGTGGTGAGTACTAACAGCCTATGATCAGCCTTTCAGCCTTTCCCCCCCCTAAATGCCCCCCCCCCCACGCCCACCTCTGTCCTCCTTAGTCAGCAGGTAAGCTTGCCAGAGGTGTGGCCTGTCCTGGCTATTGGCGTTGCTGTGTTCTCTGCTCTTCAAATGTCAGCGATTGGTTCTTTCTTCCTTTTGAAGTTTCAACTTACGTAAATAGCCAGTGGAACTCACCCACTCTCTTTCTTTCTGAGCCAAGAAGAATGACAATATTCTTTTCTTTGTTTAGGAAGTTACCTCTGTTTGCTTAGAAAGCTTCAAAGCAACCGCTATCTCTCTGGCCTTTCCTCCTCCACCTTCTCTCTCTCTGGTCCATGTCCTCACATTGGGTAACCTGGGGTCACCATTGGGGCTGTATCCTCTGCAGCTGGTGCCCACAAAGAACCACTCCATCACCATGACTCTAAAGTTAGAAAAATGGGCCCCTGTCTCCTACCTACCACTTTTGGCAAAACCCCTTCATCTCTGATTTCACTCTCTACTCCTCCTTTAACCTTCTCAAAGGGTTGTGGGGACAATCACAGAAAATAATTCTAAGCTGTGAAGTGATATTCAAAGTGAAAAATGTATTCATATTGTAATTACTCATGTTCTCTTTACCTGCTATTAACCATCAAAGGAAAAAAAATACTTATTGAATGACAAAGTTGATTAATTTTGTGTTTTGAAGTTGTTGAGTTATTCAAGTTAAACATTATTTTTTTGGGTATATTCTGTCTATTTAAATGTTTGTGGTAACCCCAGTTATTTGCTTCTTTTTAAAAAATAATTTTATTGATTTCAGAGAGGAAGGGAGGGGGAGAGAGATAGAAACATCATTGATGAGAGAGAATCATAGATCAGCTGCCTCCTGCATGCCTCCTACTGGGGACTGAGCCCGCAACTCAGGCATGTGCCCTGACTAAGAATTGAATTGTGACCTCATGGTTCATAGGTCGACACTCCACCACTGAGCCACACTGGCTGGGCTATTTTAATAAAGGGTAGAGGGTGCCCTTTGGTTGTCTTTATAATGAGCAGCACTCTCAGTGAAATCACAGACTTTCTGAACAAGTAGCAGATAACTTGCCATGCATTAAAATTTCACACCAATTTAAGTAACTTTTTAATTACAAATTCATAATAGCGAAATCTCACCAGCTAAAGACATTGAATTTGAGTAGGTATATCAAGCAATTATTATTTTTGTGGCATTTAATACAAGCAGCCTCTCCCCTTCTCAAAAAGCCTCATGTGTCCTGTCCTGTCCTGTTAAATACTGCATTATGTTTGTGTTTATCTCCCTATAACTTGAATGGGAGCTTTTATAAAGAGAATTACCTTTGTTTTGTTCACTGATGTAGCCCCACCACCTAGAAGAGTAATGGGTATTGGTAGACACTGCCTACACATTTGTTGTATATTTGAATAAACATGTGAGCAGTAATTATACTAAATAATTTTTACTGAGTATTTACCATGTACCTGGCAGTGTACATGTATCATTTCATCCAATGTTCCCAATAAATATATGAAGCAGGTGTCACTTTTATCACCAAATTACTGATGTGGAAACTGAAGGTTGGAAACATAAAGTAAATTGTTTCAGGTCTCATAGCCAATATAATTGAGAACTTGGATTTAAACCCAATTAGCTTGACTCCTATGGACCATGTTCAAGCAGAAAAAATGTTGCTTCTGTAAATTATCTATTATTGAGATATTGTCATTGAGATTCCTTGGGATTTCATTTGGGAAAGGGAGTTCTCCTATGTAAATATTTTTGGCAAACACTGTCCTAGACATTTGAACCAAATCAACATCTATAGTTGCAATTCTAGGCCTTGAGCAGATTTCCATGTGGTTAAATTCTGCAGTATTGGAACTATATCCTCGCCTCTTGCCATTTGTTATTGGGTTTTGAAAAAAAGAAAAAGAAAATAGACAACGTGTGCAACTTCAAGGACTCTCTTCTACTCTGATTTGGAAAATCCTATTCACCATCTGTCTGCATTTCCTTGTGTGGTGTGTTCTGCTCTGGTTTGGTGTGTTTGGTCTGCGTTCATGACAACTGTCCTCTTCACATGCCCAATTCTGTTTTCTAGGAGAATGAAATAAATCTGACCCACATTGAATCCAGACCTTCGCGCTTAAAGAAAGACGAGTATGAAATCTTCACCAGTCTGGACAAGAGCAGCATGCCTACTCTGGCCAACATTATTAGGATCTTGAAGCATGAAATTGGTGCTACTGTGCACGAGCTTTCCCGAGAGAAGAAGAAAGACACAGGTAAGAAAGAGAGGAATGTTGAAGCCCTAGTTACTCTATATTCTGTTTATAATCATATCTACCCTGGAAGGCTATTGGGGGTTTAAGCGAGAGGATGTAGGCTAGGGATCTAGATGAGAGCCTAGCATATTTTGGACATTTAGTAAATGTTAGTTCTCCCCCCACCCCTTCCTCCGGAGAGCTATTTTTTATATTAATTGTTTTCTTTCTGCTGCTGAAATTTTTATATATTTTTCATTCTTGAGTTGGGTTGTCATGCTCTCCATCTCCTATCTCTAGAGGGAGGATGGTTAGGGTGTCGAGGGTGCTTTTTATGTAAACACAACTTCAAGACAAATTCCATGGTCATCTCCATTCCCACCAGAGGGCTGTCCCCACATCCATGTCATAGTATGTAGATTCTGTAGCTGGCAACTGCCTGCCCTTGTCCTAGGGCTTTCATTTCTTTATCTGCCTTTTTCTCTAGATTATGAGCTTCCTATAGGCAGAGGGAGTATTTTTTAAAAAAATATTTATATTCTATGAATTTAGCCCAGTGCTTAGAACACAAGTGCTGAGCAAATATTTGGGAGTGAATGATTAAATCCAGGAGTTGTCAAGACTTGCCCTGTCTCCTTATTGACTTGTTGAAGTGCTGCCCATTGATGACCTCTGAACAATAAGTCAACAAAGTAGGGCTATAAAGTTTGGCTTGAACAGACTTCAGTTCAAGTCCCACCTCTTCCACTTAAAGATTTTGGGACCCCTGGAAAGTCCCTTTCACTGCTCTGACCTCAATTTTTCAGGGAGTTTCTGTGAGGGTTAAATGAGATCATACATATACTGCCTGTCTGGTGAACGATAGTATGTGGTTGTTGTTACCATTATGTGTACCCTAAAAGGAATACAGAGGAACAATGTGATTGCTTTCAGGATACAAAACATGTTCAGATAAACTATCCTATATAATAAAAGGGTAATAGGCAAATTGACCCTAATGGAGGAACGACTGGGAATAACTGGTTGCTATGATGCGCACTGACCATCAGGGGGCAGGCGATCAATGCAGGAACTGCCCCCTGGTAGTCAGTGTGCTCCCACAGGGGGAGCTCTGCTCAGCCCCAAGCTGGGCTGATGGCTGCAAGAGCAGCATAATGGTGGGAGCCTCTCCCACCTCCTCAACAGCGCTAAGTATGTCCAACTGATGGGGAGTGGGCCTAAGCCAGCAGGTGGAATCCCCTGAGGGGTCCCAGACTGCAAGAAGGTGCAGGCTTGGCTGAGGGACCCCCCTCCCAAGTGCATGAATTTTCATGCATTGGGCCTCTAGTATTTAATAATGCTTTATTTTTTAGTGATGGTGGGAGCCTCTCCCACCTCTTCAACAGCGCTAAGTATGTCCAACTGATGGGGAGTGGGCCTAAGCCAGCAGGTGGAATCCCCTGAGGGGTCCCAGACTGCAAGAAGGTGCAGGCTTGGCTGAGGGACCCCCCTCCCAAGTGCATGAATTTTCATGCATTGGGCCTCTAGTATTTAATAATGCTTTATTTTTTAGAGCAGGTTCATGCTTACAGGAAAATTGGGCAGGAAGTACAGAGAGTTCTCACATGTTCTCTTTCTCGCCACCCCCCACCTCAGTTTCTTCTGTTATTAACATCTTGCATTAGTGTGCTAAATTTTTAATAATTGGTGAGCTGTAGTGACAATATTAATAACTGAAGTCCATAGTTTATGTTAGAGATCATGCTTTGTATTGTACAGCTCTTTTGGTTTTGACAGATGCAGATAATGACATGGTGATCAACAATGGTGGATAGTGTCATGTATCCATCATTCCAGGTTCATGCAGTTGATTTAACTGCCCCCCAAATACCCCAGGCTCCACTGATTCCTCTCTACTTCTTCACCTGATCCCTTTGGAAACAACTGATCTTTTACTGTCTCTGTGGTTCTGACTTTTCTAGAATGGCATATAGTTGGAATCAGAGTATGTAGTGGTTTCTTTCACTTAGCAACATATGTTTAATTTCTTTATATCTGTTTGTGACTCAATGGCTCATTTCCTTTTAGTGCTGAATAATGTTCCATTGTATGGATGTACCATATTTGGTGTATCCATTCACCAGTCGAAGGACACTTTGGTTGTGTCCGAGTTGTGATGATTATTAATAAAGCTGTTATAAACATTCATAGGCAGGTTTTTATGTGGACCTGAGTTCTCCGTTCATCTGGGTAAATACGTAGGAGTACAATTGCTGAGAAGAACTAGTTTTTCTAAATAACTAAAAAAAATTCTATGGTACAATCAAAAGATTTTTGTCAAAACATTGAAGAGTTTAAGTCAAGAGGATTTCGGGCTCTGTCACTGAAAATAGCATTTTAATAGGCAGAGATGCTTTAAAATGAAACAAGACCCGCCTCTTAGCACAGGCCATCGACACAGTTTCTATAAGATGTCTCCAAGGCGTTCCTAGGAGATCTCTACTCCTTCTCTGCCCTCATCCGCCTGTGGCTATCACACAAGCAAGTCCATCCAGGGCTCTGCCCTTGCCGAGGGTGGTCATCATGCTCATGGGCTCAGGTCATGGGGGGAGGGCACTTGGAATTCTTCCTCGGATCCACCCTGTCTGCCTGCCTCCCCCTTCCACCTTCCAAGCTGCTTCCCTGATGATCATCTCTCTTTGCTTTTCCGGCCACCTGCTCCCAACAGGAGTGCAGGCTCTCAGGACAAAGGCCCTGCTGGACCCGGGGCCAAGCTCTGC